TTGCCAAATTTTTTTTTTAATTTCAACTAGTTCTTTCGCTTTTGTTCGCGATCAGTAAACTTAGCTCACACGGTTAGCCAAAGCACTAATTTATAGAACCCCATTTTCTGTAATGGACCAACACCGCTTTAATGAAAGTGCCAAGTGATGACATAAATAGATTTCTATAAGTATTGCTCGGAAATACTTCGTGCTCTAATCCGAAAAGTTGCCTCCCATAAGGTAGCCAAAGCACGAAAAAACAGCATTTTCGATTTTGAGGTTTTGCATTCTTCGATAAACCTTAGACAAATCTGTCAAGTAGTGACCAAAAAACTGAAACTTTGCCAGTCGGCTATAGCCTGTTTTGGTCACCCACATTGTCTGCCTGCCAACGAGATTTCTGTGTCGTAGTGCATCATTTGGGAAATCAGAGTGATACTAGTAGTTGCGGAATAAGCGACAACTTATGATGATCTCTTGATTAAGAATTGTACCTTTTGTATGACAAGGCCTTTTTTTGCTTGAAAATGCAAAGTTGATTTTTGTGAAAAAACCTACCGAATGGGACTCCCAGTCAACAGACTAGAATTGGTGGAAGGAGAGACTTTGGTAACTGTCACATAGTTTTTTAACTATTGAAACTGTATACAATGAATGATCATCTGATCTAAATATTCTGTCATCCATCATCAGCTCGTTCATGTTAAAAATGTAATTTATCATTGTTAAGGGTGGATGCGTCTCAAATCCTGACTTCATGCTCTGTCAATGTCGTGTCAGCTGTGAGCAATGTACACCAGATTATTACTACGGAGGTAAAGAGATCAGAGATATAGTTTGTCAACAAAATGATTTTTTCAGAATGTTCTGATTACCATCGTGATTGCTATAAATGGTCCAGAGGAGGGCAATGTACTAGAAACAAGTGGATGCTGGAAAATTGTCGAAGATCTTGTAATTCATGCATAGATCCGTAAGTTTTTTTTCATTAATTTTATTACCCAAAGATTTCTTTTCTTTTAGCAGCATGCTTCCTCAACGTTGTGCTCAACGATTCTCTCGCTCTCCTTTCTTCTGGTCGATTGGAATGAAATAATATGATACACATATTTATACCTATGTACACCCTTATTTGTACATATCCATGTATTCAACGATAATTTCTTTCCCGTTTTCATC